CAGGGCCCCCCCCCCCCGCACCCGCCCCAACCCCTGGCTAGACAGACATGCTAGGCACAAGTGTGCATATAGACTCCTTTACCATAGTACCTGAATGCCTAAAATTTTTTATACATTTATTCTCACAATACAAAGTAGGAAACTGCTATTATCCCCTTTTTACAGATGGGAATAGAAGTACAGACAGAGGGCCAGATTCACAGGCCTTATCCACCTTTTGTATTAACAGTTTTTCAGGGTCTTGAGCAGGATGGTACTTTTAGGTGCTTGCCTAAAAGGTAGAATAGAATCTGGCCTAAAGCAGCTTGACCAAGGTTACGTAGGAGGTATATGATGGAACAGGAACTTAAACCAAAAGCCTACCATGACCTGTTCATGCCCTAACTACTGGACCAAACTCCCTCTTAGCCTATGTCATCTCAGATCTAGATATTTTTATGAATGTATATCACTGAACAGTCCAATACCTCATCTTTAGCAAGCGGCCAGTACCAGATGTTCCAGATAAAGACGTAAGATCCCCCAAATGGAATTAAATTCACATTTATGGGAAACCTTCTTCTCAATAAATATTTTATATGACGACTTTGTTTATGCCTTGAAGCATTAATTTATATTTTGTATAAATTTTAAGTCAACATTACTGAGTATGTTAACATGGCAGTAATGTATATGCCGTAGTGTAGGCAATTAAAAAAAAAAAAAGCAGCTAACAACATCCTAGTAATGGGTGATTTCACTCTATGAGTTGCTCTTAAATTTTTGCTGCAGGATAGGAAGAGACTTCTATTTTTGTTGCATATTATGTGGTGTTTGGATTATAGAGGTTCTATTATCATCCAAATACCTCTGTGGCTCAGAGACGGGAAATAACCCTATGCACTACAGTGACTAAAATCCTGCATCTCTCCTTTTCAGAAAATAAAGGGAATAAAGGAAGAGAGAGTGACCCTATGCTCATTTCTGATTGGGTTACCATTAAGTATGGAAGTAAAATGTGTATACAAGAACACACATATCAGACCTGCCCCAAACTGATCAGCTATCCAGTGCAATCTAATTTGATGGTGATATATCATGACCATAAATTCCTGTTTCACTGACTCAGGCTCTGGCTGTTAAAAGGTTGATACGGATCTTTGTGTTGATGAACAAGGTAGGGCTTGTGTTGCCAGGAGACATTTGGCTAGAAAAGAGGTTCCTACTGGTTAAACCAGCATCAGAGTAGCAAAACCTCAGGGCTTTTTCCAAACTACCTTGTAAATGACTAAATTGTGTCTGCCATCCTGCAGTGTTGTTCCATTTTCATTCATCAGCTTCACAAAGGCCATCCCAAAAGCTCTCTCTGATTTATCCCTGGCTGCAAAGAGAAAGAAGAAAACTTCAGTTGGAGTAGCCTTATCCGTGTCCCTGATCTAAACCAGCATGCAATTCCCTTGCTGCCAAATTCAACAGATAATAAACAGGCAAGGCTCTTTGGGTAAATGTGATATCTTTTATTAGACCAACTGAGTAGTTTGAAAAGAGTTCTTTGCAACCTTTTGGGCACAAGCGTCCTTCTTCAGGCGTTGGGAGACTCTGCTGTTGTTCTGAGATCTCCAAGGTAGGAAAGAAGCCAAAAGAATGACAGGAGGTCAGTGAAAGTGTAAATAGGTGGAAGTTTGGAAAACAATGGGTAGAGTGGGGAGGGGAAGGGGAAATAATGGGTGAAGGAATGAAAAAGATAAGTATGGGAGACAGTACTGAGTTCTCCAAGGCAGAAAAGAGGCAGTCTCTGTACAAGTAAATAGGTGGAAGTTAGGAAGACAAGGGGTAGAGAAGGATGGGTAGGGAAGCAGGGGGAAAATGTGTAAGTGGTAAGTTCAGGCAGGTACCTGGTGAATCAGATGTGAGGCAGGTTGTCATGCATCATAAAGCCAATGCCTATATCAAGTCAATGATTTTTTGTATCCAGTAGATTTATGAAGTGAAGTCTGTCAGTTCATCTACAAAAGGTATTTTGTAGGTTCCCAAAGGATTAGGATTGAGAGATCAGAAAGGGAGCGATTGCTTTGTGAGAAGTGTGCACCCACAGGTAAGAGAGATCACATCTACCCAAAGAACCTTACCTGCCTATGTCCTTAGACCAACACAGCTACAACCAACACCCCTGCACAGATAATATAATGAAGCCTCACTGGGTACTGAGGAACAATGCAAGAACCACCACCTGTCTGAAAAGACTTGTTTCAGTTCAATACATCTCAAGGCAGCTCGGACAGTATTTACAATAAGATAAAAAGGTTCTTTTCTCATGCTTCATTTTACCTGAATTTTCAGTGAGTATATGATAGAAAAAAAATGAACCTAAATAGACACATATAGCTACCTATGGATTTTTTTTAATCTGGAATTTTCCACTTGGCTGTTTAACTGCCAGTTAATAAGGACTTTAAATATTTACTTATTATATATTGCAGCAGATACAAGAAGCACCATTTATGGGCCACTTTCCCATCTGGCTAGGTGTTGTACCAACAGAGCCAATACAGTTTGTGACCCAAGGAAGATGTAACAATCTGCATGCACCTGCAATAAAACCAAGTGCAAATGCATTCATTTCTGAACTCATATTGTTGTCTTTTGAGAGACCAGCTCCAAAAAAGTCGCACATTTAAACTCCATGGCTCTCTCTCATATGGGTCCTTACCAGATTGGTGCTCTCAGGTTATTAAGAAATCCTGTGAACTCAGACCAATGAGACTTCTAACTGCTAAAACTGTCTTTTTAGCCTCTTGTGAACTTGATCTAAAAGCCCGCATTAAAACCACAAAGATAAGAGTCACGGCACATTTCTACATCACAGAGGACTTAAAAAAAAATCAACACAGGCCAAAACCAAGCAATAGCTCGGCTCTTCAGCACAAAGCATGCACCATGCTGCTTCAAGAGAGCAACACACCACCACAAGCCTTCTCCCATTCAAACAGCCAAATAGGAAGTAAACCTTCTTAAGGCCTTGGAAGAGATTCAGAATTTCTCCCTATTTGCAGGTGTCATTTCCATTGCCCACTTCTATCCATTAACTGGAAATGATGAGAAATCCCAAAAAGACAAAAAGGAAAAAAAAAGAATCCATTTCCATGCTTGTCAGCACTAATCTGAACTCAGAACCGAAACTCTTCTCCATCAGAAAACAAGTGGAAGACTGGAGTCAGATCTGGGGCTCCATCTTTGCAGGATTCTCGGAAACACAGCTAGGTTACAGAGTCTGTTCTCTACAAGGGAAAAATCCCTACCTGGTACTGACTTCACATACTTACATTCCTGTGATGATCGGTGACGGAAAGTAAATCTCAAATGACAACGACTGACCTCTTCAATTGCAATGGACACCTGCATATTAGAACACAAGATGTCAGACAGCAGTAATAATCATCATAATCATCATTATTCTTCTTATTGTAATGGTATACCGGTGCCATTGTAATAATGGTACAACAACACTACTACTACTATTAGGACTTCTGTTGCAACTCACTACAGGAGTAGAAAATATTTGATCAACATCAATGAAGTAAACCTCACACCTCAAAATCTGCATATCCATTTTTTAAGTGGTGCAACTAATGGCTAGGAAAAAAGGAAACACTTTTCCCAACATACTATATCAAGGACAAAACAGAACCTGGCAGTTTTCTTCTGCTATAAATCTGAAAACTTAATCCCATTCTACCTAAGATTTTCAAAGTATCACTAGGAGTCAGGCTTGTAAATTCACTGAAACAAAAAGAATTTGAGCACTTCACTCTTATATGCCCTTCAGGCATTCCTCATCTCAGTCTTTGAAGAAGTTTGCTTATAATGTTCCGCAATGAATCTAAGTGCAATGTAAGTACTCTGCCTCCTCTGTGTACATGTATTTGTAATGTATACTTCTGGGAAAGCTCTTCTCACATGCAGTGTCTGTTCTCCTGATTTTTGCTGAAATTCCAAGTAGCCAGTTTTCTTGTTAGGCCATAGAGCTGAGCCCCAGGAAGATCATTAATTTAATCCTTCAGCTGTCCCAGAGACGCACAGAAAGTGTATGGATATTTTTTAGGACCATGCATCAAATACAGAAAAAAAACTTCTCTTTTAGCAATCCCTTCAGTCCTGACAGATTAAATCGTTACATCAAACAACTCTTGTCCCCTCTAAAGCAATATAGGGTACATCTACACATGCCACTACGGTGACATGATAAACTCTGGTGCAGTTCGCTCCAGAGTCAAATGCTCTCGAGCACAGCATCTACATGTACACCTGGGACCACAGCAATTTGAGCCAGGGCAGAGCAGCCCTGGGCTGGCAGAAGGTCCAGGGGGTCAGTCTCAGAAAGCAATGCTGAGCAGTGGAGAGGCTGGCTGAGGCACAAGGGTGCTAAAGTGCAAGGCTAGGTGGATAGCAGCCCCCACATTAGCACCCTCATGCCCCAGCCAGCCCCAGTCACCACCTACAGGTGCATTTTGGCAGAGTTAAGTACTCCGCCATAAGATAGTACTATCCTTGACAGTACTATCCTTACAAAAGAGTCAGTTAATTTATTGCGCCCTAATACTGGCACAACATGTACATGGTGCTACTTTACTGTGGAGCTATTTAGTCAACTCTGCAGTAAAGCGTACATGTAGATACACCCATAGCGTAACACATGGCTATTTAAGTGTTCCATCTCATTCAATATTTCCCAATCAATCACATTTGGTAAGGGAAGGGGAAAAGAACAACAAAAAAAGTCTTACCTTCACTGTTTCATACCAACAAGGCTGCTTGACTTGATAATAAATAACAGACTTGTATTCAGAGATACCTTCATAACCAGCACCAGGATGGATAGCTTTCTTTGGACAAAAAGACACAAGGAACAGAAGAACAAAGTCAACTGAAGCTAGGGAAAAATATTTTCTTGATGATTGATTCAATAATCATGCAATCCTTGCAAATCAGAACTGTTTAAGAGTTTCCCCAGGTAGAAAACTTTTGGCAACAGCCCATCAGATGCATAAAGCAACATTACTGAGATCCATCCAAGAAATCTTTCATACCTCTAGGAGATTGCCATCTTCATCATGTACAGACATGGTGACCTCTACATTCTTGGGAGTCTTCTTCTTCCCTTTGTCAAACTCCCCCTGCACTAGCGTGACATAGATATCATTTCGAACATCTCCTGAAACAATAAAAGCCCCTTGTTGAGTCATTTTCCACAAAGAATTAATTGGGGGTGTGCTACTTTTCACACCCTAACATTACATTTTATCCTGTTACTCCTCTCCCTTTTACATCTCTGACTGATCCTGGCAGATCAACAGTATTTTAGATCAAACTATTGATTTCATCTTCATATGAAGCTATGGCCTGCCAATAATCCTGAGCGTGTTTTCCATTTAATGCACGTCGTCATTAACACAGACTGTGCCACAACCAAGCTTTCTACTTCTTGTATTTGTGTTCTATGTGAATTCTTCTCTATGGGAATTAAATGCATTGCATACACTAAATAATTATTTAAAAACCCATCTTTTTGGACTAAATGTAAGTTTTCTTACAAAACAATGTTCCTTGCTGACATTTTTCAGTTTCTCTTAAGTAACTAAAAATTTAAAGTTTTCACTTATTTGATAAAACCCCCAGAAAATCTACTGAAAATTAAAATCTTTCAATTTTCTTTTGAAGTGTTTAGAGGAAACTAAAACACATTTTTCAGCTGGCAGTTAATGGCAGATATACTGTGGATACATCCATGCCCTGTCATCTTATGACCTTTAGTAGTATGATAAATTGTAGTTTACGCTGATGAAATTTAAGGCACTTACCAGGCAGAATAATCTCAGGGAATCCCATTTTACGAGCCACTGCTGTTGATCTGTCAACAAGATGCGAAAAATCCTTCTGAACCTGGGCTAAATCACCAGGCAGCAGCTTCAAAGAAACCCAGAGGCCTAAGACAAAATACAGCATGGAACAACTGTCAACTTGAACATGGGCAATATCTGTGGCATCATAATTACTTCTGGGCCTTAACAAGGGAAAAAAAAAAGCAATAACTATATTCTTGTCTGATCTGAATACTAAAATGTCACAAACATAGAAAAAACCCCACACACTGACATCACCTATATTCCAACATTTGCCCATGGGGAATGGGATCTTATTCTGAAAAAAAAAACAACCCAAAAAACAAAACAAACAAACAAACGAACAAAACCAATGAAACTAAATGAAGCAATTCACTAAGGGTGGGAGAATCCAAAGCAAACTGTTTCAGAAACACCAGATATCTTACGAAAAACCAGGATAAGGAGATATGGATAAAGGGAAAATGTAATCTATAGGGGTTATTGCATTCATTTAAAGTATTTTAAATACATACAACTTTACCCACGTTTCGAAAAAATGATGCTGGTCACAAACAAATTTAGTCAGAAGGTAACAAGGGAATAAAGTGCCTTCTGTTCAAATTCTGCCTAAGTAAAAACTGAGTAAACGCAAAGTAAGTTTAACACCCTGGTGAATGTGCATTACACAACCTCTGCGCCTCACAAAATGCAAGTGCTGCAGTCACAGCAAGGGAGTTAGGGCTCTAACTGCAGCAGCTCATGTTCTTCCACTGTGGAGGTCCTCTGTGGTTACCAGAATAGCACATCAGGATCTGGCTTCATTGAGCTAGCATACTCCAACAACCTTGATCTCTGGACTTTGCCACATAATTTCTTTCTTTTTTCAGTAAAGTGGTTGCCTCCCTAGCCCCACATTTTTACACTGACCTCTGGTATGACTTACATACCTTGCCCTTTATGATTCACTTCCTTTGCAGCAATGACTTTATTGAAGACTGAAGTGAGAGGCTCATTCTCTCCAATCACATGGGAAGTTATTAGAGGGGACATGATTAGCTGTCGCTGTCTGATGTATGTTTCCATGGCAATTCTGAGGAGCAGAACAACAGAGGTAGGGACACAGGCAGAATGAACATCGAAGTACAAACTTTACCAAAGCAGTGCGAGACAAGGCTTTATTTAACTTTTTAGGGTAAGAAAAAAAAAAGGCAGCTTTCATTGGGGTATTTTTTTTTCCTGCCTCATTAGACAGGGGAGAAATTCACCTCTCTGCACCAGGACAAGGGCATGGCATCACTTAAATCCAATTTAATTCTTTGAGTTACATGGTATTTCCATGGTGCATAAGCTCAGAAAAAGGCATTCAGGACCTGATCTTGAGACTGTCTTCAATGTCAGTGGTTTCAGATCAGACTCACAGTTTAAATTTACCTCTCACATAACTCCACTGGCTTAAATTAAAGGCACGTAGAGTGGCACTACATTGGTTTTTAACAAGACCTCAGCACAAAAGCCCTGGTTCCAACCACCTGATCCTAGGTGATCTCTGCAGAGAACTCCACCTCTGATCCTAGGTGAAGTCTGGATCTCCAACCAGAGACTTATCTACAATAAACCAAAGCACAGACTCTTCTTCCCCAGCACTGTCCCCTGATTTTGGAAGGGTCTGGCTTTGGCTCCAGATGCTATAACACAAGCCAATCCCTAATTACAAGTTCTCTAGAGGGAAGAGCAACAAAAATGGTGGTAGCCAACATTATTATGCAAAGGCATAACACTCTGTTGTACAGCTTTTTAGTCATATAAACAGTTTCTGAAAGGAAGAAAAAAATATCCACTGGAAGGCCTTTGTAATGACATACTGGCTGTTCCAAATGAAGTACTATATTTAGGACTGTAATAATACAGCTCAGTTTACCCAAACAAGCGCCATTTTAATTACTAATGTGCTGAGAAAGTTAACAATGCAAACAAAGATCCAGCAGAATGTAGTAGTCTAATTCACATTACAGTAACACAGGAGCTTAGCTCTCCTCTCTGAACCAGAATACTTAATCATTAATCCAGGAACTGTTTCATCACTGAAATTGAAATCTCCTTGACTGTGGTGTGATAGGAACTACAGGTCAGAGACAGCCGAGGCACTGAATGATGCCAAGAAGTCAAGGCAAGAGATAGTCAACAGGACTTGTACACCTAATCACTTGGGGCACATCCAGACAAGCGCAGACGTTTGGTTCCCTGGGGACAAGTGGCAGCAGCACACCTTGCACTTGTTATCTGTCCGCTGGGAACGCCCATGCCACGTCCACTTTGGCGCATGGCAAATTACACCAGGGACAGCAGGAGGGGCTCGGGTCAGCACTGTGCTGGCCCCAGCAGCCTTACCTGGGGGCCTGGGAGCCTCCCAGGGCTGCAGCCATGGTGAGCCTGCCGGGCAGAGGCCTGGTCAGCAGCCACAGCTCAGCTCCAGGTAGCCTGGCTCCGCTTTTCATCAGCATGCGCTGCCTGAGCATACGCTCCTCTGTTTTTCTACCCCCCCCCCCCCCCCAGAAGTGCCAGGCCAGTGACCTCCCCAGTGAAAGGCGAGGAAAGGCGCCTGAACACCAGCCCCCATCTGCAGGTGGGCTTTGGGAGGCAGCTGGGGAAGTAGTGGGGGCCATGTATGCCCACATGGAGGTGCCTGAGCCCAGCAGGGATGCAGATCCCGGAGACCCCAGAGGGGGTTGTATGGAGAGCACTGGGAGGCCCTGCCCAGAGTAGGGGTGAAGTGTGTGTAGGCCTGAAGGACAGCCCAAGGGGCACGCTGAGTAGGGTCAAATGCGAATACAGTGCAAGGGCCAGCCCCATGAGAAGTTGTGCCCAGTGAGAGGCTTGGTGCAGAATTAACCCAGGGTTTGGCACAAGGCCAGACCACGTAGAGAAGGGAACTTGTGGGAACTGAAGGACTGTGTGACAAGGCCAGTAGCCGAGTAGCAAAGCCTGATGGCCTAAGGGGGGCCGCTCGAGGAGAAACAGGGCAGAGGAGTGTGGCCTGGTAACAGGCAGTATGCCAGAGGCCCCAGTAAGAGAGGGGCAGAGCAGAAGAGGCTTCCTGTGAGAGGGGAGGTAGTATGAGAGAGAATGTGAGTGAGTGAGTGAGTGAGTGAGTGAGTGAGTACACGCGCGCGGAGCCCAATTTTGGACTCAGTTTGCTCCAATCTCAGACTGGGAGTAATATTAATCTGGATGCCATCTGTGAGGCATGGGCTGTGGTATAGGGGAGGCTGGAGCCGCAGATAGTGCCCCCTGGCATCAGGGCAGTAATGGGCAATCTCCCGCATGTACCATCCACATATGGGAACAACAAAGCCGTGGCAGGAAAGACTGGGCCCACAGAAACAGGTGGGCAGGCCAGCATGAGCTTGCCCTGTTACAGCCACACTCATCTGGATGTGCCCTTAGGTGCTTTTGGAATTCCCAAACTTAACATCCATGGAGAGCAGATGACATGTTCTATTTTCAGTCTCAACAGGCCACACACACTAACTTGCACTGTACTCTCCCTATTTACCTTAACTGGATAATGGCCAAATCTCTCTCTCTGGTATTTCAGGTTACGGAGTCTAACTACTCTAGTCTCAGTGCCCAAGACTCCATAAGTCATCTCCCAACTTTAGTGGTTATGAGTTAGCCCATCATTCAGTTTTAAGATGCACAAACCATAGCAATGAGATGATCCTAAGAATGTACAAGTCAGGACCTTGCACCAAACTTTTGGCTTCAATGACTTAAGAAATGTGATCATCCAAAAAAGGTTGATCACTACAATTAACCAACTTATTTGTACAAATCTTTCCAACCTATAGCAAGACATCCCTGCTAGGCCCCCCTCAGGCCCCGGGGGAGGCACACCTGGGCCAAGGGTTAGCGAGGATTTAGTTAGGGAGCTTCTGGAGGGGCTGGACATTTTCGAGTCAGCCGGTCTGGATGATCTTCACCCTAGAGTTCTAAAGTAACTGGCTGAGGTCATTGCAAGTCCCCTGGCAAGGCTTTATGAGCACTCGTGGTGCTCTGGAGAGGTACTGGAGGACTGGAAGAGGGCCAACGTGGTTCCCATCTTCAAAAAATGGAAGAAGGAGGACCCGGGAAACTATAGGCCAGTTAGTCTTACCTCGATCCTAGGCAAGCTGCTCGAGAAAATTATTCTGGCACACATCCAGGAGGGGCCAGCAGGGGACTGCATGCTTAGGGGCAACCAACACGGGTTCATCAGTGGCAGGTCCTGTCAGACCAACCTGGTGGCCTTTTACGATCAGATCACCAGATCATTAGATGCAGGGGTAGCAGTGGACAT